AGCCTTTTATTTTATGAGGATTGAAAAGAAGAAAGCACAGTCACTTTGCACAAAAGCTAAAAAACTATTAACAAAGGAAAACAGATTTCCTTTGGMGGAGATACACTTCRCTTAATACTAAATGGCGTATCATGAAATCAATTAAAATTATTCCAGCATGTCATGAATTATTCATCAGTTGGTTTTTTYCATAGTTCTYCTCAGAGCTCTAGTAGTGGCTCTGGGTTTGCTGCTAGATGTAGACAAAATACCCAGTTGCTTATGGCAACAAATTGGAAGGAAGGAAGGAAGAGAGAAAGGCAAATACATTACTTCAGATGTAGCTCTGCCCTGCTGCTCCCACTATGGTCAGCCACCAAAGAACAGAGCAGTGGCTAGGGGACCCACCACACCACCATAAATCCCAGCTTTCTGGATCGTGCCCCATTCTACTTCTYCTTCCAGGTTCTGTCTCTCCCTTGCTTTCCATAACAGAGGCAGCCATGGGTCAGTCACGGCTACWCYRAATTRACCTGTGCCTACAATTCAGAGATGCTTTCAGCCACCTCAAATGTACAGGAGTATGGGTCCAGATCCACAAATGGCCTTTGCCATTGCTGTTTTTAAGTTTTTCCTAGCTGACTTTGGGTGTCTTGGTGGCCAACATGAGTTCTAAAGAACCCCAGGYTACTGAGGGAGGAGCCATCTAAGCTTGGCAATAAGAAATACTGAGGACAGGGGAGCCCAAACTCCCAGGACTGTACAGGGATTTGTTGGATCTCACCTGTTGGATCAACCAGCAGGTGACTGTGCAGTAGTGGGCGGGGTTGGACCATCCTTTTCCTCGCTTCTCTGCGACTGAATAAAGACAGCCAAGCACAGATACTGTTTCACTCAAGCAGCCAGGCATAATCCAGACTTGTTTACCTACCTAGCAACACATATCAATTACATCCCCGTGAGCTGGTGATATATAATCCAGCATTCAGACAATTGGCATCATCTGATTAGTCTATGTGTTTTGAGTATTAAACACTGCAGAACAAAAGTACCTGAAACTTTTTTGCAGTCAYGGGACTGCTCCTACCTTTTCATACCACATTGAAATATTAATGGCATTTATAATTTAAAATGGATTTGGATTCCAAGTAATAATAAGAAACAATTTGCTGTAAACATTTTTAATCTTGTAAATTGGAAGCAAAACAGAGCCAATTTGAAAATTAGATAGTATTTCAGTGTTTTCCCAATTTTTCCAATTAATATGGACAAAAGTTATTGAGCAAATATATTTAGGCTTTGATTCACACAAGCATCTACTAGTACTACCTCACACTGTTTTTTTTTTTTTTAATTGACTGCTCTCTATGGTGAAAACTTAAGTACTGTCTTCCTCAATTGTGAATGAGAGGAAAGGGTAAAAGATTGAAAATACACAGAAAAAAAAGCACCAAAACACCTATGTGTAGTTGTTGCAGTTAACAGCATAGGCAGAAATTGTTAGGGAAGAAAATGAGCTTGAGATTCCGTATGTTGCACATCTGTGTCCATCTGAGATCACACCTCTGATTTTTATGGTTAGTCTCATCCACTTTATCTCTTTTTAGGCCCCCTTGCATACCATGCTTGGGGAGCTGCAGCCTCGCCTGCCCCCACAGCCCACATGCTGGTGGCCTGTATTGGCTGCACTGGTCAAACTGGGGGCAAGCACTCTCAAAATATCCCACTCTTTCTCCTGCACTGTCATTCAGCTTTGTTTTTTATTCCRTTTTAAAATGCAGTTCATACCTTACCTCTTCTATTTTACATCTTACCTTTGCACAGAACCATCTACCTCTCCATGGTGGTGCTTGCATTGGCAAGGACTGTGGGCTATACAGCACTGAAGAGGGTTAGACATTTACATGCATAGTGAAAAAATATCAGAGCATTAAAAATGTGTATGATAAATATAAAGCTTTGTGCTTAAAGGTATAAGTGATAAGGATAGACATTCATCCTGTTATTATTGCTAGTAGAGATTTCAGTTTTCTGAAGCATCTGTTTTTGATGATTGTTGGAAGTAGGATACAAGACTTACATTTAACACAGGTTCAGACCGCTTCCTGCACTGCTCACTTCCTCAGTTCCTGGGGTCTCTATCCCCAAAAGGTAAAAAGATATTTAATGATCAGAACTGACAATTAAATAATTATTACAAATACATACATATTTTGCATTTTTATGTCTATTTTTATTCTAAAACCCTTCTCAAACTGTGTATGTGAAGGAGAATTAGTGGTGACTGATTTTTTGGCAAAGATGGTGTTGACAAAGGTGCTGCGGGAGCTCTGACCAATACTCAGCAACTACTTCTGTCCATCYAATCTCCAAATCAATCCAATTTACTCCTGTCAGCTCTACAATCAGTTCTCCCACTAGCCTTTTACACTTCCCCTATCAGTGTGCCTGCTGTTTCCTTCTCTTTGCAGGGAGGCTGCATGTACAGTCAAGATGCTTTATTTCCCTCATTCAGGATGAAGGGAGCAAGAGATACATGAATTACTCTTCATCCCTTGACCATTTCAGTAATTTTTCGAAAATTAATTTTTTTTTTTTTTTTGCCTGTTTCAGACAGTTCTTTGCCCCAACAAAAAAGAACTCTTCCTGGGACAGATGTGCCTTCTGGGTGATTAGAAACAGATTAACAACTTAGTTCAGGATGGTTCCACACCTATGACATGGAGAATGACATTGAATTAAGAAGTGTCTCACAGATATAGTGTCTTCCCTATGAAGATAGAGGAACACCACTCTTCAATTTTTATGCAGATTTTTTTTTAAGGTTTTAAGGTAAGATTTTACCATTCAGAATTTTAAAATTTTGTGCAAAAGAAAAGCCTCTGTCAAGAATGCAACAACTGCAGAGTAACTTATTTAAAATACAGATATTAAACAACTTTTAATCACAGAATTTATACATTGGGTCTAGGCTAGAAGGCAAGTGTGAATAAATCTTGTGGAAGTTGGAGGTACAGCAGAAACTTAGCATCAAGCATGGTTTTGACCTGCAATGTCAGACCACAAGGACAATTARGTTAATTAATACAAACCTTTATGGGCTCTCATGCCAGTTCTTCCAGTCAGTCTGGATGAACGACCTTCACTTCACCATTGCTTGATGTTGAAATGCTGAAACCAGTATTTAAGCCAGCTTTTCTATTAAATGCATTTAYTGACATACATGTGAACGGGTATCCATGCACGTGTGCATGAACCTATACACACACATTTATGTAGGTATACTTTCAAGGGTTTCAAAGAATGAAAGATCAAACCAGCTCTCAAGAGAAAAACATTTCTCCTTGGGGAACCTGGCTATCATGTCTTGCTTTTTTCATTTTTATTGGGTTATTTAATACAGGATTGCAGAGTATTAAATACAAGTTTGAGCAAATGACATAGATACAAAGGAAGCTTGCCCTAACCAACACCAAAAAGTAGCTTTACTGAAAAATCTAATTGTCACATTGTATGTCCCATTGATGTGTGGCCKCATAGGATGGCACAAAACTGGAGGCGGGATCAGGGAGCTGGGTTTATAGAAGAGACATTCCTTGAAGAGAGGGAGAGGAGCCAAGGCCCATAGCCTCTCTCATCTCCAGGTTTTTTAAACTTCCTCCCACTAAATCATGAAAACCCTTGAAAAAACAGTGCTTGTAACAGGACTCCCTTTRAACAAGCTCTTTAAGCTTTGATGCCCAACATCTCTTGCAGCAGACCAGCCGTTCCTTTGAAAGTGAGATTCTCATCTCACAGCATTATTTCAAGCACCATTTCCTATCTTTCAAGTATAAAACTGGCAGGAGCATTCTTCAGTTGGGTTTATTGAGGAGTATTTCTAGTCATGTGACCACGAAGTCCTTCTCTACATAATTACAAAAATAACCTGTAAACAAGTATTTCATTTGTACATCCCTGTTGCCATCACATTTTCCTTGATGTGGCTGTAAATTTCTAAGGCAGAATAGCTATTTAAAAACCAAGCACACTAACTGGAACTGCTCATTTCTAGAAGAAAAGCACATAAATAAGAAAGAAATACTTTTGTTAAATGGTAATAGACCATGCCACAGTTTGCAAAGGAATAACCTGTGGATACCAGAGGATTACAGCTGAAAAGAACTAGATACCCTTCTGTTACTACTGACAAATAAAAGACAGTACCTGATCTTGATTTAATAGTTGGAATTACATGAGTGATTATAATAAAAAATGCTCCTCTATTCTGACAGCTGCCTATTTGTTTACCCAAAGCTCTAATTCCAATTGCTTTACAGCATGGAAATGAAAACATCAGAGTTGATGAAAATATAGTATGAGTCTGTATCTATCATGGCATATGATATAGCATAATATATATATTATAAATCATAGGTATACACACAGACAGACACAAAATAACAGTAAGGTTAGCATTATGAGTAAGGTTAGTGTTGAACCTGCCAGTTTATCTGTCTGTAAGCAGAGGAACATGAAAAGAACAACTGAGTTGCTCCTATTTTTCTCAACTTTGGAAAAAATTATTAGCTAAAATGGTTTTTACTTTATTTTAATCTAAACCCAAGGTGSTATTCACGATGCAGAATACAGAGCTATCAGTGACGATGCATTTTGATTTGAATGGAGATGTCATAAGATGAATACTCTCCCAGCAAAGAGGCTGGGCAAGATCTCTGAGCTGACAGAGAACTCTGCACTTGGACTGACAGCATGGCCAGGAAACAACTGAMGATCCTGTGCCAGCTGCCTACTGGTGTTACTGAAGCTGTTAACTGGGCTTACATTGAAATGATGAATTGTGYTTCACGGGACGTCTGGAGAGACAGTTCACCACCAGGTGGCAGACACCACAACTTGAATTTCAAATACTAAAGAGACCCAAACGGAAGCACTTATTCAGAAAAACCTTATCTGTCACGCATTTTAGGAAAGTAAACACTCTTCTGCTTTGACAAAGGCCAAGTATGTACTGCATGAATGCTACCATGCCCCAAGTTACACACTATTGATAGTTGATTATTGTGTTATAATAATTTTTAAGAATTGATGAATTCTTGTTGGTTAAGAAAAAAAAATATAGGCGTTTTTGGTTCACTGCAGAATTTCCTAGACTAAGGGTAAATATCTAATCCAGCACTTGTTCATTTATGCTTGTACTATTCTATAGGCTAAACCCTACATAGGACATTTATTTCTTAACAATTTCAACCATATTGGTTTAGAACAGTGAAGTAAGATTGGTCCCCTAGAGTATTCATAGATAGAATGAAGGGCAGAAAATGAAAATATTGCCMAGGTATTTCAAGAGTGCTCAATTCACTCTACTAAAGCTACTCAGTCCTCCCTGTAACAAAGAAAAGCATGAGSAATTTCCAAATGGTGGGCCTTCCTTTGTAATCTGTTCATCTCAGATCAGTACCACAATTTTGTATGATTTGTGTAGCATATTAGATTGCAAACACTGAGTGAGGCAGTACCCAGTTTTTGTCCCTGTATCTGCAGAGGGTTTCACATGATGGTACCCTGACAAAGCACTTAATCAAATAATAAAAAGTCTTTATCACAATAAGTAAGGTACTTTACAGATTAATAAGCTTTGAGAAGCAAGCATTTGAGCAGGAACAAAGTGGAAGCTGGGGGACAATCATGAAGTGAATGAACTCTTAATGAGTGTATTAACTCCCAAGAGTGCTAACATTTCAGAAAGTCTGTGATATAAATAGACCTGAATTTAGAAAATTTATTTTTAGTAATTTTTAAAGATCAACATATTTTTGTTAGTTTTGTAAGCTTTGTCATTACAAACWTTTACATTTTTTTCCTACTAGTATTTGCCATCAGAAAACAAGAAAACAATTGTTTTTCTAGTTTATCTTCTACATGGACTTGGAGCTGCTGATGCCAAGACCTATTCAAGTTATACTTTGTTCTCTGTGTTTTATATGCTTTATTGGAACTTGCTTCACTGTGCAACTGCAATATATAAGCAAGAAAATGTATAGTATTTTACTGACGTACCTTCCTCAGTATGTTTCTGAAAATTAAAACATAGAAATTGTCACAGGACTTTCAGATTAGGCATGGCATATTCCAGTCTCAACCTGTTACCTGATCTGTGTTAACTCTATTCCTGTTTCATTTAGCAGATGGGCCAGGTGTGTTGGATACAGAGAAACACATTTCATAAACTATATATTCTGCAAAATTAAGYTATCACACCAATTAAAAAATGCCATTTTTGATTTTCAACATACACACACTGCTTTTGTTCAAATATATTTGCTGTATTAGGACCACAAATCATCAAACCATCAAATGAAATGTTTTGAACATAAAACCAACACAATTAAAGAAACAAACCACTGCAATTTAATAGCAACAATCTCACTTTACAAGATAGCAACGATGGAAACTTTGCAAWGGAATGTGAAAAAAGAATGTAATTAAAAATGACATCTAAGACAACAGAAAATTTGAAATTAAATAGCACAATAATTCTAGTATGCAGAAGTTTTATTCAGAATGTTTACTTATGCAGCATTCTGACTGATGTGACACTGTATTACCAGCACTTACTGACATCTGATAAATACCATTCCTTTAAAGTATTTTTCTGTTCAGTGACCTTGCACAAACAATAAGAAACCCAGAGCCCAAAACCAGTTCACAGGTGGTCAGTACAAAATTCCTAAACAGGATAGGAAAAGACCTGGCACGCACACACAATGAGCAAAACATAATTTACTGCTAATATGGTGATTTCAATATTCAATGCACTCCACAATATTTTAGATTTCTTTTACAACATATACCACTTTCAAACATGAATCAAAGCAAAAGGTGATGTAGCTTTGTGGATGGAAAGGAGCATTGACCTGGGAACTAGGGAATTGGGATTCAATTCCTGGGTAGAGATCAGATTCCCAGGTAAGACATACAGTGAGATGGAAATTACAAGATTCACTTCCTATGAAAACCTTGAGATCTACTGAAAATAAAGCAATGAATGTGAGTTGGGGCTTATTAAAAATTAAATAGGAACTACATAGCACTTWAATCACTTTGGAGATTACTTAATTACTAATTTTAGTAAGCATGACTGCTGCTAATCTGCATAAAAATAACAGAATGAAACTTGATAAATGGAATGTATATGAAGGGTTCCACAAGAGTGGAAGTCACATACTTCCTCTTCTTTGAACCCAATTCATGAAAAAGTGAGAAGAGTGCAGTAAGTCTGAGTACCCACAGGAATCCCAGGAAGAAAACTGGCCCACAGGAAGAGTGACTCCACAGGGAGTTTTGGTGATACCAGGATTTCATTTCCAATGTCTTCAGTGATACTTAAGCAAATAATTATGTATTTATCAAAATACAGAGGATGCTTTTCTGAAAARGGGTCTAAATTTCAGTATTGACTTAAGTTCATGAGAGCTGCAAAAGAAAATAAATCACACAAGCATAAATATGAAMAGGAAAAGTGAAATCAAAGTATTTTTTCTTTTTAAATAACATAAAATAATGTAATAACCACTAACAGAGGAAAAAATCCACRAAGATACTTTTTGCAGTTTATTTTCAATTATAATTTTTGGATAACCAAGCAGCTCTGTATGGAAAAAAAGCACAGAAGAGTAATTCTGGCACTTTTGGATAGTACATTTTTTTTCCCCTCAAATTTTTCTAGACACATTCAGTCCACTTGCTCGGTCCATAGTCCATTTTATATGAGCATGAYTAGCTCATGTGATTCCAGAGGAAACTAACAATATATACAGTCAATGAAACTATCTTCTTGGCTACTCTGGGCCCTTTAAAATGTCTTCTAAGTCTATCCTGGCTAAACAGAATCCACAATATACATGATAGCTACAGAATACACTGTATTGAAATGAGAAATGCTCAGCACAAAATGGGACTCTTGGCATGCAGCTTAAAATAAAAGGTAGAAGTTCAGAAGTTTATAAAATCTCAAATGGGGTCAATTAAAAGGACTTAGCAAAAGAAGGGACTGTTCATTGTTACTGTAAAAAAGGCACTTTGAGAAAATGGGACCAGAATTGGAGGAATCTTAGTCGACACAAAGTTCAGTTTGGTTTCATAAAAAGGCTTCAATGCTAAGGGATGCTACTCAAGTTTCCTGCAGTTGTACATTAAAATAAATTGCTGAGTAGTTTTATAATAAAGGACATAAAATGTTTACAACCAACTTGTAAAATTAAGAAAAGCATAGTATAAGCAAAATATTACTAAAAGCAGCAATGCATAGCCTTTCATTGAGATAATGCACAATTTTGGACACCATGTGTCAAACTCTTGTTTTTAAGATACTTTCAGTAGCATTATCAACATAAAATTGGCCTACAAAACAAAAGCTTTACCAGCTCCTATTCATAAGGAGATTGAGGTCATAAACCAACCAAAACAATTTGTCAGTATTTTCAACATCCTGGATGACCAATATCAAGTATATGGAATAACAATCACACTCTTTGTTCAGCTATCTCACTGGAGKCAGCTGTTAAATCAGAGGAATGATTTAAATTCTTTTCTAACATTTACACAGTAATGCATTTAAATTCTTTCAAATGTTGCTCACCACAGTTTGTTTTTCTCTTTTCTCTCCACAACAACAAAAAAAAGAAAAAAAAAGAAGAAAAAAGGAAAAAAAATATCAAGCACTTCCACAGAAAGGATATTTGGCAATTTTATATTCCACTGAAGGGTGGATTTTCACAATAGCTCACTTTAGATTGAAAGTCATTAGTGGTCTTTCCTCTCGTTTCTGCCAAGGACTCTTTTTATCTTCACCTTGGTCATCTTCTTCATCCTCCTCCTCATCATCATCATCATCTTGACCGGATGTTCCRTGTTCAGGACTAGTTAATGGCTCTGGTTTGGTATCCACAGTTCTGGTTTCCTCCTGCAGGCTGGGCAGCTGCACACCACTTCTCTTACTGGTGCCTTCTAGGAGGCATCGGAGAGCATTGTCCTCGGGGCTGCAAACTGCTGTTCCACACTCGCTGCCACTTTGGTCCATGTCATCCAAGTACACCAGCTGCGTGTAAGCCGTGCTATCGGAAGCCTTCCGCTCCCTCTGCTGGTGCTCCTGCACCGGGGGGTGACTCTGAGGTGCAGACAGATGATCTCCTCTTCCCTTTCGGGCAGATTTCGGTTCATTCATGTCAACACCAGAGTCCAAACTGGCATCGTTACTCCCATTCCTACCAGCTCTTTGGAGATCAATGTATGAATGTCTAACGTGAGCATTTGAACGTCCATCTAGAGAAACRAACCATGCTCGAGGATGAGGCAATGGCTTTCCACCTCCCAATTCCATCAAAGCCTTTTCTGTAAGAAGCTGCACTTCGCTATTCATTTGAGCCAGGGACGCATCATTAAGAGAGGCAGGAATGGAAATAGACTCAGACATGGAAGCATTTTGCTGACTCCACTCAGCTGCACCTGCATCTTGCAAATGCTGCTGAGATATTGCTTGGGATGCCAACTGCTGGGGCTGCAGCTGCTGGGTGGGGTGCGGGAAAAGCCGTGCGTGAGGGTTRGGAAGCTCAGCCTGAAGTCTTTCTAGATCAATCTGCTGGTCAGCTGGGACAACCAGGGGCTGGCTAACAAAAGGGTGCTCTCCGGGCAACTTCATGTAATGACCTGGGATGACCAGTGCAGGCAAAACCTTTCTGTAAACACTGTCATTGACTTGGTCAACAGAATTGCAGCAGATTAACTGACCTGGTCGAGGGAAAGATGTAGGTCTTTCAAGGTGATCAACTGAACGAGACATCATACAATCAGTAGGTCTGCAGTCCAGCAGCTCTTTTTCAGGGGCTGAAGGTGTGGGGTATATTTGTTCCTGAATATTATATTTACTTCCAGTAGCAATATGGTTCATAGATACTTGAATTTCTCTCTCTTGCTTTTCAAATAAAGGCTGAGACAGCATAGCATTGTAACTTCTCCTATACTCATCTTTAATAGGGGACTCATAGCCTTCAGCTGTTTCTGTCGATTTTCTTGCCTTTAGAGGAAARCTATCTGCTGATTTGTGGTAGTCTTTTCTTAGAGACCCACTGGGAGTYAGGTCATCCAAGGAAATTCTGCTCTTGTCTTTCTCCTTGTCAGAGAGCAGTTCCTCTCGGGAGCTGAACTCCTGGGAAGTACTGAAGGAGTGTTTGAGCATAGGTGTATGCATATCTGCTTCTCCAGTAGGTGATACCATCTCCATGTGGACAGCACTGATTAATTCCTTTGCCCCTGAGTTTTCAGCGTGTCCATTGCTGGCAACAGACAATCCACCTGGAAATTCTGACTCACGACGTGAAAATATTAAATTTATATGGGACATTGACGTTGCTTGATCCTTCTTAGAAGTGTCCAGTGCTGTCGAAAGTTGCAGTTTCTTATGATGTTGACGTGGTCTTAGACATTTTCTTCTATAAAARCCAGTAACAAAAGAAGTTATACAATTATGACTGTTGTGCACAGAAACAAGAGAAGCAAGTGTGTCTTAACAGAAGATTTTTAGGCAGTGATTAGTATTAGGGGAATTGAGCTTTTATTACATCAYCTAAAAATTAAAAGCTTATCCCAGCAGCGAAGATAAAATTAAGAATAACTAATGTCAATTGGGAAATATCTCAAGTACCAATTACAAATTGGAGTAAATGTCTGGAGAAGGCAAATATAAAATCGCTCATTAGCAGGCACTTACTGATAGAAGTTTAACATTCATTATAATGCAAGGCTAACAGAAAGATCATTTGCAAATGCCTAACAGGTACAATGACAGAGATCTTGAACCTAGGCCCATGTTTGATAGGAAGTTACAACATAGAGAACACAGGTACAGACGTGTGTGATTCATTCAACTACCACCCTACCAGGGGCAGGGATTTATATGCTGCATGGAACCAGGAACACAGGAAATTAGATCTCACTGTTTCTTTCTTTTTCAAGTRCCTGCTTGCTTTTTTCTTCCCCAAAGTAAAAATGGTTCAATACAAATGTTTTTAATTTCGTAAGCACAACAAAGCTTTTATTTTCAACGTGAACTAAGTAACCAGGATGTTGAATCTTACCTGCAATAATACAAAAGCAGACACAGCAAGACTAGAAGTATGAGAGCCATCCCTCCTAAAATTGCCAAAAGAAACATTGTGTGATAGCTGGTAATGTCGTGTGTTACAACGGGACCTGGAAGGTCAGAAAAGATAATTTAGACCTGYAATACCCTGCAAACAGGAACAACAGTCAAACACAGAGAGTAACACCTTCCCTTATTACCATGGTGCTAAGCAACACTGCTGCTCATAGCCCTGGTGCCTACTCAGCAGATCATCTCTGGAGAAGGGGGCAAGTTGTGGAGAAAGCATGTGCTGCTTTTCATGACTGGAAGTCCAATTAGCTCACTCTGTGGAAAAGCAGTTAGTTTCAATGGGAGCATGCATCAGTGAATGCTGCCTTCCAGGTCCTAATGCTGACACCCTGTGCCAAAGCCCTCACCACCGCAGAAAATCCATCTGAGCATCTCCCAGCACTGTAATGCACYGAGCAGCATTGTGGGCAGCAAGTGCTCTTTAACATCTGTGGCTCTTCACACTAAACAGTACTGACAGTGCAGTACAGCATYCACTGGAAGATGTGCTGGTGCTCTGAAATCTAGAAAAAGCCAAGTCAAGCAGATCTTCAGTAGCCTTAAAACACAGGCCACTGGTGAAAGTGTTGTAACTCCAGGTTTAATAAAGCTGAGTACATGTTCTAACACACAAAGGGATGCAGACATGTAGACAACATCTGTTCACAATTATGCATGTGTGACCCTGTTGGTGTGTAAAATCCTTATGATAATTTTGAAATAAAGATCCCAATTTTCATCTGCAGGCAAGAAGGTAGAGCACCAGCTGGCAGACTAACATGTACTGTGTTACAGTATGATGCATGTACTGTGAAGAACAGCAAACTCAGCCAATTTGGAGGTTCCAAGTCATAAGGTTTGCAAAATATCATCTGGGGATCTTGAGTGGTCTGTAGAGCCTGGGATACAAAGCTCATTTTTGTCCATTTTTGAGATAAGAAATTGAAAAGATTCAATTAGGAGATAAAATATGCAAAAATACATTAACTCATTAAAAGTAAYATAAAATATATTGCATTTGGGAAATCTAAATATTTATACATTCTGTCCCACCACTAGCTTTACGTAAGTGATTGTTACTGTTGCTTAAGGACATTAAGCAAAATGAAGAACAGATAAATCACTTGAATTTTTCATGAAAATATTACTCCCACTGAATGAAGTTTTAGAAACTCAGATCTAGTTACAGAGGGAAAGAAAAGTAAAATACAAGTAGAAACTCTGCCATACAAGTTAAACCACAGGCACAAATAAGCTTTCTCCAGTTAAGAGTTACAGGCATTGTAACCTTAGTTACAAGCACAAATTCATGATGAGTGTAACTTCTTTGCATTCYGGGACAGAGCTGTACTGGGAAATGTTTGGCTCAGAGCAGTTACTTTTTCTTCAGGTAGAATTATTTTATAGAATTCCATTGAATTTAATATGATAGCTTCTATTAAATATATAGATATTTAGATCTGCACCTGCCTCTAAAGTCTGTTCAGCAATGAATCAGCTGAATATCMCAGTGTTTAATATTTAGTATTTAATAGACACTCAAATAAAAAGCTTGCGTATTATGAAACAATTTCATGATATGTATGAGCAGATTTTAAAACTTGTCCTCGTGTAAGAGTTTGTTTTGTGTATTATAGGTAGTTTATTGAGCTTGCACAGCCAAGGCAAGCATGTTTTCTATTTTCAGCTGGAAAATCTAATAAAGAAAATCTTAAGGAATTCTAGGTTGTTTCTTTTTGATCGATTGACTGATTAATTGATTGATTGATTATCTTTTTTATAAACAGAGGTATCTCAGATTATTGGTGGCTGATAAACTAATACCAAGGAATCTGAGGCAGCCACAGAAAAAAAGGAAGCAAAAGCTGCAGCATTAATACTCTTCACAGACAGAGAAGCACATGTAATTAATGCCTAGTTCAAAGCCATTTTCTACAGTTATCTCAAGAAGTTTGCAGATGTCAACCAGCTCTGTACTAATGCCACTGTAATACACTTCCTGCCACTTCTGAGCTAAGCTAAACTGTAAATTTATCAGTCAAGATGACGCAAAGCATAACTCAGGGCAAAATGGGCATCTTCGGTTCAAAAGGGAAAAGGTGCCAATCAATCAATCAATCAATCTATCGATCCATGCATCCATCCAATAGTAAATGTTTAACCCAGAATAAAGCTGGTTTTAGGTGAATCCATATCTCCCAAGTTTCTGTACAGAAACTTCACAGCACCTGTTTTTCCTACCTGCTGGAACACCAACACATTGATGYTATGACTTCCCTAATTTTCTAGCAATGGCTCTGCTAGGCAATTGTGACATAAATACATCAAAGCAGAAACACTTAAAAAAGTTCCCCTTTGAAATGACACAGGTATTTTGAGCACCAGGATTGCCYCACATAATCCCCAAAAGATTTTAGCCCTTTACTTTCAGATTTCTGTTTTCTAATAATCCATTATTGATCAAGCTGTGGTCATTCTGAAAAATAGAAACATTATATATGAATAAATAATTACCCAATGTTGCAAATCTCAGTAAAATSCAGTTCCATCCTACCTGGGATAGTAGGTGACATAGCTGCAACCCAGTAGCCCAGYTGAGGTGCAATATAAGTCCAAGTCAACTGATTTCCTTCTTGTTGCACAATGCCCAAACTACTCTTCAGCCATGTCCCTGTAAATGCAAAAGGTGTAGGAAGATGTTACAGATGTTACTTCTGCAAGCAAAGGAAAATCAAGCAGTAACAAAAACTATCCCTGCAGGGAGCAGGGACTGTATGGGCTGACGTGCTAAGTTGTGCCTTTTGGTCACCGGCATTTGAGGGCTCCCACAAGCAGTCATCCCCTTGGCTTTCTCAGAAGTAAAAAAACCACAAACCCCAAACCGTTAAGTTTAAATAAAACTAATGAATCTTCAAAACCTGTAAAAAGAAAATACTGTCATAYTAGATTCCCCTATTTTTGAAGAAGGATATTCCTGAAGCTGATGAGATATAGATAGCCCACTTCAAAAATGTAGTTCAAGAGACATCACATCTCTCTGAGCACCTGTGAGTTCTACACACCAYCTTTCCACCAGCCCTGGCTGTCAGTTCTAGAAGACAGAGGAAAATGTTTCCTCAAAATAGTTTCCCTATACAGAATGCATTTTATGAATGTTACTGCCAATGACTAGAATTACATTGCACCATCACTTCAATTAACTTCATTAATCATTCAGAATCTGTATCATACCCCCAGGAATACTGTCTGGTAACAGATGATGAGTTTTTTTAAAAYATGTTTCTCAAAGGAAACAAAATAGATTTTTTCACAATGATGAAATGATAATTTCAAAATAAGTAAGACCAACAATTTTAAGCAGTGTATTTAAGTTCTTGTAACGCCTAAATAGTCCAGATCGACCATCTGCACTAGTTGAGAGTTGTTCTACTTCCTGAAGATTAATTTTATTCCAAGAGTTATGAAAACCATTACAATTGAACCAACTGGATGCCTTTTTGTAATTCATTAAGACTCCAGATTCTGGGGCTGTAGGAGAAAAAAAATCACCTTAGTTTCTGTAATGATAACTGTCCAGAAGAGCAATCACTGAGAGACCACCCCGTGGTGCCAGGCAGTGTTCCCCAAAGCTGCAGACCTGGCTTGGCTTCTCCAGCAGGTGCCATAATAGAGGGCATAGGCTCCTTAAGGAGGTTCTTCCCATATTTTGGTAGCCATTAGCAGGATGCTGATGTGTGTACAGAGAAGGGATGAACACCTCTGCATTTCTGTAGTCAGCTCTGTTATTTCTGTGCAGAAAGGGGAACAAAGCTGTATTTCCCTTACTCAGCTTCAAATGCTCATTTGAAAGGCAAGCTGCATCATGTACTTGTGATTTTTCTTCCTTTAAATAATCCTCCTACTTGTAATTCCCAAAATGGTGCTTTTCATCAGACGTCACTCAGGACTAAGTAACARCATTTTGGATGACAGTCATCTGAACACTCAGCAGTGAGTACAGAACACAAAGAACAGATGCTGTGGCTGTGTTTGTCGTTTTTATAAAACATCCAAGATCCCGATGATTTCTTCTGTGTTCCTCAGATTATCTATCTTTGCAAACCCTCTACACATGAGAATGGCTTGAGTATCTGTTTTCTCCCTACTACTGSTTTTTACTATGTAAGACCACCATCTTAGGTTAATAATAAACCCACCTGAATACAGTGAAAGGTTTAGAAAAATACYTGTTTGAGAGGTGACTACTACTGCTAGACGTCAACTATATTTACAAAAAACCTGATTTTGTGGGCAACATGGAAAAAGAATTACTGATGTAATTATCTGTTTTCCAAGTATCATTTCCAGTCTGTACAGGGTAGCAATAATCTGTTATTTCATAAAGAAAGTCACACAAGACAAGTAATTTTGATTTAAAGTACTAGAAGGACCAAAATCTGTGTACATKGAATTGCATAAATGACATCCATAATTGTCGCAGCAGAACACCTTGATGTAGTCACTCCTCTACCTCTCTTGGGGAAACATTGTCAGGAAAAATAGAATGGAATTGTCTGCAGTTACGTATGAAATTTCTGTAAAAACCAGGAAAAGCAGAATTCTTTTTCTCCCCTAATATGGCCACTAACTCTTCAGATTCTCCATCCRTGAACTTTTGGGGAAGGTGATACTAACAGCCCTGAGGGTGAAAAATAGCCCTTATGGTTACAAATTGCATTTAGCTTTTCTCTAAAATGCCATTTGGTAAAAATTCTGTAACCTTGCAATTTTTCTTTTTCTGCAAGATATGGATGATGAGAACTATGCACCAACTATTCAAATATACAACACACATTTTATTTCACACATATGTGAAATAAAATTTTAGCAGAGGTAAAAACTGCTGATTAAAAAAAAATGTAAGGACGTGGGTGATGAATACATCGTATTTCCCATACTTTTCTTACCATCTCTAAGCCCTTTAAATTCGCACATGAGCAGAACGCAGATGTGATTTAGCGAAGTTCATTACCTTTCATGCTTATTTCTCCAGCTCTTCTGGAGCAGAAGCTATTACAGAATCCCTCACTAGGGGGAACTTGTGTCCAGCGTGCCTTWCCCACACGATGCCGCCAAGCCAAGGAACGCAGCGCTCCTGCCGCCTCCTGAAAAGCCTTTTGCTCAAAAATCTCCACAATGCAGCGATCAAGAAGCTCAGAGAGGCTGCAGGTTATCGCTGCGAGCAGAGCTCTGCCGCCGTCCTGCCAAACGAGCAGCAGCTCGGATTGCTCATGTTTTAGCAGCGACGGGAATCCCTGATTTGTAATGGAAGCACACGAGTCTCTACTGCACAAWCCTCAATCAGGGCTCACTGAGTTCACCCGTTCTTGCTAACCACTGCACATCCTCCAGGCAATGTGCTGGTCTGGATTAATGAAGGAAAAAATGTAATTCCCTCTCTCTCTTATGGATAGTTGAGAACTTCAAATGCGTGAAAGATGTATCCAATATTGGTCATCTTTAAACAAGAGTGATGCAGCTTTTGTTGTCCATACCCTAMAAATTAGTGTATTATGACAGAAAAGAAATACTTTTCAAACAGCACTGCTCCAAGTTCCTTTGTCAGGATGACACCAAGTGTGGATTCCTGTGAACCATGAGCATACACTCTCATTGTCAGTCCTTTTTTAATACCTTCATCATCCAACACTTTGGTACCAAATTTGCCTCTTAAACTTTCACCATCTCTTATCAAAAGTCCACTAATGAAGCAGAGCATCCTCCTACATTGTGGGAAGAAGAATGGGAAGAACTCCATCCTTCACAACAGCAGCAACAAATTTGAGTGGAAACAGCTGAAACACAAAGTCCTGTATTGCTTCTTTTCAGATCAAATAGCTGAAAGCCAACCTAGTATTACTGGGGGGAASTGACATACCTCCAGTATTCTGCAAATACATCAGAGCATTTCCAGGTCTCTCATATTTCAGCCGTCACAGGTTCTAATTTCCTGTTTGTTTTTTCAAATATCATTAAACAAGCAGTGTTCTTGTAGCTCCTTACATGCAATGCTTTGCTGTAATGACGAATGCTGGACCTTCTCTTGAGCAAAACCCAACTACACGGCAGTGACTGGCCGTGCTCCTCCCAATTCATGCTGCCTTAAGTGACCAAAAGTTCATTGCTGTGCAGCCTTGAGAATGAACTCCCTATCCTGCCTCCTTGGAGTGGAAAACAAGATGTTTTCCTGTTCTAAACATGGAGCTAATTACYGTCTGTGTCCTCACGTACTTGCTGCTGTAAGCAAAGGAGGAGACTGGGGCAGTGAATAAAGAACTTGGTCCTTTTTTCTATCTGATCCTGTGCAGTAGCCTGCAAATGGAAGGAGGGCAAGCAGCATTCATTCTTCCTGTGTTGTCAGGATTACAACTGCAGAACTAAGCAGGAARATTTAGAAGGGAAAAGAGATCTTACCTCTCTGTATGGCTGGGTTCTAACAATTTAATTTGTTATTCTCTGAATATCCGGTAACATCTACTTCTTCCCCCAACCAAGTCAGCAAAATCAATGAGCTTCACTGCTTATTAATATTTGAATGAGCTTCACTGCTTATTAATATTTGCATTTGATTTAAACAAAATAGCCACAAGTAATACAGGATTATTGAAAAAAATAAAAGCTCAAACCAGTAAAAAGAGCTGGATGTAATGGAAGTGGTCATTTTTGTTCAAGACTGTGTAGCTCCAAGGAAAACTTGTCAATGCCTCTTTGGAGGAGAAACAGCAAGCTCAGTGTAGTTTGTAAGCACTCCATGATTTGGGCCAATTCACCATTAATTCCCAAAGACTGTCTGGTGCTTCACGGAAAACTTCTATATATAGACACATTCTTGCTTATAGATCATTTTTACATTTCTCTTCCTCTTTTCCCTCTCTTGCTGCTCAGYGGAGCCAACATGCTGATCCAAGATTCAAGTCAGGGGAGCTGTCTCCTGGCTCAAACTAACGGTAGGGGGAGAATCTAGAAGTTTAACACTTTTCTCACCAAAATTGTACTGCCTGCTACTGACTTYTTGGAATAAATGGTGTGGTGTAATTTAACAAATTTATTGTTAATTTCTTCTTAAAAAGCTTACGAAGAATCTACCCATCACTCTTTCATATACGGAACTCAAAAGCAAGGTAAGAAAACACAGCAAAGAACATAAAAATCAGAGTACCTTAAAGATACACAAATCAAAAAACAGTCAGATAAAGAAAGCTGAYCTCCCATCTGTCTGCAAAAATATCAGAGAAGTTCAAGAGTTTAGTAGAGCAGGAGAAAAAAATTCTGCTAGGGAGAAGCATCTTAATACTTTGCAGTAACTTTGATACTGATGAACACGCTTATTTATCTCAGGCAGCTTTTAGKTCTTGCCAGTGGGCAAGAGGGGGTTATGAGTAAATTTAACAGCAAAAAGTTTGCACATTAAATCTCTATTTCAAGTCACACTCAGCATGGAACAACACCTTTTTGTAATTTAATTTGGTTCACTTCTGAATCAGACTGGAAAATGGCACTTTCAGCAAGGAGAGTGTCTAGTTGGGCAGCTATTGCAGAGAAGCCACTGAAGAACAGCTATTCTAGAATATCCCCTGCACAATCAGGTCACTGCACTTATGGCTGGTTTGCCCAGAAAAGAGACACCCTGTT